GGGAGGAAGAACATGGGGATGGTGTGAGCACAGCAAGTGTGTGTGTGTGTGTGTGTGTGCGCGCGCGCACGTGTGTGCATGATGCAAGTGTGTGTACATGTATGTGTGCGCGTGCATGATGCATGTGTGTGTGCATGATGCGTGTGTGCATATGCATGCCTGATCCATGTGTGTGCGTGTGCATGTATGATGCAAGTGTGTGCACGTGTGTGTGTGCACATGTGTGCATGGAAGTGAGACAGAGCTATCAGGTTATGCTGTCATGTCTCGATAAGAATTTTAAAATCTATTAAATGTGTGCCCTACAACAGTTTGTGCAGTCTCTAAGGCCAAGACATCCAATTTCAGTTTATGGTTAATTACTTAAACTAACATGACTTAAAAAACAAAGTATGTCCTTTTATCTGTTAAAAATAGATATATTTGATCCTGTTTTTGCAAAAAGAACTATGAAAACTATCATACGTGCATTATTAAATCTTACTATGACAATTGATGTGTAACATAATTATGAATTCTATTTTAGAAATGGCACATGTAAATCCTGTTTGTGTTCAGTTTATGTCAGTTTCTAGGTTTGTTCTGAGTCCCCCAAAACACTCAAGCTTTAAAGTGTGGAATTAAAATTAGACAAGGAAGCTGCCTATAAAGTGGCCTTCGGAGGGATGGGCGGGTGGGTGCACAGAGCAAGAGTGTTTGAGCTTTTAATCCAAATGTATTCATAGTTGTTTGGGTTTTTTTATTTTTTTAATGTTTATTTTTGAGAGAGAGAGAGAGAGAGACATAGTGTGAGCTGGGAAGGGGCAGAGAGAGGAAACACAGAATCTGCAGCAGGCTCCAGGCTCTGAGCTGTCAGCCCAGAGCCCGACGTGGGGCTTGAACCCACGAAACGTGAGATCATGACGTGAGCTGAAGTCGGACGCTCCACCGACTGAGCCACCCAGGCGCCCCAAATGTATTCATACTTTTTAACCTGTCAAGGCCAAGTGAAGCACAGAACAAGATAGACTGTGGTCAGGCAGTTTAATAAGATTTGAGATTTGAGTCTTGTGAACAAGCAGTGTCTGAAGTCAAATACATGCATCAGCCATGTGATTGTGGAAGGTGAGAGCATCAGGGCAACGGCTGACATGTCAGTCTTCAGATCACTGTCTCCCATCACTACATCCAGAATCTCATTGGTACTAATCAGGTGTGTGTTGATTGACCATATCAATAGATGGATGGTTGGATAGATTGGATGGATGGAGGGATGGAGGGATGGAGGGATGATGGAGGGATGGATGGATGATGGATAGATGTATGGATGGGCGGATGGACGGATGGATGGATGGGTGGGTGAATGGATGGATGATGGATGGGTGGAGGGATGGATGGGTGGATGGATGGATGGATGGATGGATGGATGGATGGGTGGAGGGATGGATGAGTGGATGGATGGATGGATGGGTGGATGGGTGGGTGGAGGGATGGGTGGAGGGATGGATGGGTGGATGGATGAATGGATGGATGGATGAATGGGTAAATGAGTACATGAGTCCACCAAGGTAGCTACAATGATGGCAGCTCCATTGACAGAATGTCACTTCGCATGTGACATAGTCTAGTCTATGTCTAGTGACAATGTCACTAAGCAGTGTGACTTAGTGTCAATGTCACTTAGCATGTGATCTCCTACCATCATCCTGCCCTTTCATTTGGCCACATATGCCCCATCGTGGTCAGTGCTTTTCAAAGCAAAGCTAAGGAGCTGAGTCATGTTCCTATTAAATGAGCCCAAAGGAAAGGCTCAGGAGACCTGAGATATTTTGTGCAGACAATGATGTGACTGTTTTAAAATGCTTGAAGAGTAATCCTGTGGAAACACTGGGGCAACAGCCAGCAGGGGTGTTGACTCCTAAGCATGAACCAAGCAGCAGCCCCAATTCAGAGTCAGCCCTCACCACCATGCATGTGCCTTTCAAAAAAAGGTTTCATTTAACAGTATCCTTGAGGACACAGTAAAAAGTAATTGTATTAAGAAGACTTGGCAATTGGGGCGCCTGGGTGGCTCAGTCAGTTAAGTGTCCCACTTCGGCT